ACAAGGAACCCAGGAGGAGGAGGGATGGAAAGGAAGAAGGATGTGTCTGTGTGTGTGTGTGAGATGGAGATTAAGAATGGAAAAGGAAGTGGGGGGAAAAAGGGTCTGAGAAGAAAGACATGCGAGGAGGAGGGAGAAAAGCATGGAAGGGGAAAGAAGCAAAGGCAAGAAAAGGAATTGGGAACAAAAAGACTGTGCAGAGCTGAAAAATGAATGAAACGGGCAGCTGAGCCTCTTCTTGCTCACAGCAAATCATTAATGAAATCCTTCCTGTGCCCATCCTTAAATAGCTCTTCCCACGTCTGCTCGTGCCTGGCACAAAGCGCTGCTCGCTCCCTGGGCACTGTGGAACCACGAGCTCTACCTGGGCACAGGGCAGCAGCAGGACAGTGCCCACAGTGACAGGTGCACAATCTAACCCTGGCAGATCCCCACCCAGCTCCTTCATCTGCTCTGTAGAGGCCAAGCACCACCAGGAGTCAGCAGAGACGCTGAGCCCTGCCCAGGCTGGCCTCGATGGTCTCAGAGGTCTTTTCCAACCTTTGCTGAGCTCCAGCAAGGGGGCCCTGAACTGCCTCAGCTCCTTCTCCAGCAGTGGCCAAGCCAGGAATAAAACCTGAGCACTCACACCGGCAAAATCCCTGCACTGACCTGTGCTGCCACAGCCAAAGGAAACAGCTCTGCGTTGGCTTTTCCCACTTTCCCCTCGCTTCCCAAGACCTCTGCCTGTGTTACCAAAGGCTGTGGTTGCATCCCGCTCCTGCAAGGCCTCAGGAGCTGGAAAAACAACCTGAAACAGAGCCCAGAGAGGGGACAGTGCTCCAGCTCCAAGGCCAGGGGACGCAGAGCAGGGACACAGCCTCGACCCTCACGTTGCCAAGGTAAACAATTGTCCTGCACGGGAAAACACGTCAACAACAGGGCCTGGCCTCCCAGCTCCTGGATGCCCATTTGGTGCTGATTTTCTGCTCAATTTAAGGCAGCAGTCCAATAAAGGCTGCTGCTTTTTTCCCCCGTTGTTTGGCTTAGTTAAATGAAAACATGTCTGCAGCCCAGCTCATTATCCCGCGCCCCCAGAGCAGCCTGTGCTGGGATGCTGTCTCTAACCATTAGCAGCAACATCCCTGATCCCAGCTCCTTTTCAGACCAACATTAACTCCTCCTTAGCACATGAAAGCTCTGGGTCTCAGTGCAAAGGCAAACGAGGTCACTGCAAGGCTCCATGGCCAGGGCAGGGACACAGAACCCAGCGCTGGGTCTGTGCAGCCACACTGGAAGTCACAAAACCCCAAATTCTGGCATTTCCATCTTTTCACAGCTCCCAAATCCCTCCTTCTGCCTTGCTTAGTCAACAGGGCACCACGTGGGAAGATGGGGCAAGAGGGTGAGCGCAGAACAAATCCTCTCACAGAGCCAGCTCAGCTCCGTGATGTTTGGGAGACACGTGGGTGAATTCTGCTCCTGCAGGGCTGCGAAAGCACCAGGAACACACAGCCCCCAAAAAGCAGCTGCCACACTGTCCCCAGCCCCCAAAAATCAGGGCTCCTGATGGGCACGCGGGTGTCACACTGTCCCCAGCCCCCAAAAATCAGGGCTCCTGAGGAACACACAGGTGTCACACTGTCCCCAGCACATGGCATTCCCACAGGAATCGCTGCAGGTGAAGATGCAGCTGCACCAGTCATCCCTGCTCCTGCTGGGCAAGGCTCTCAGGGTTTGTCATTCCCACCACACTGACCAAAAAAACCCCTGAAAAGCCTCTCTGGGAGCTCTGCCCCACGGGAAAGCTGCCCTGCTGCTGCTCCCCACAGCACAGCCAGGGCAGCCTCAGCCCCAGATGTTTGATGCAGAACCACAGGGAGTTTCTCCCTGCTTGGGGCAGGACCTGGGGCTCTGTGCCCACTCTGTGCCCTCTGAGACCATCTCCAGCCACCACACCAAGTCCCTGAGGGGCAGAAGGAAGAGAGGGAAGAGCTACCCACCTTCCTCTAGCAGGAGGGAGCCCGAATCCTCCACTTCTATCCATGCAATTAGTCCTACTGCAACTGGAAACCCATGAAATGTGGCACTGCAGAACAGAGGGTGTTTGAGGAGAGAAAGAGAAGTTAACAGGATTTTTTTGCAGGACAGGAATGAATTAGAGCCTCGGGACCAGGACTCTGGTGCAAAAAGCTGGTTCAGGCCCTAGAGCGGCGTGCAAAGCACACCAGCACGGGGGAGGCACTCTCCGAGACCCTCTGAGGAAGCACAGAGCCCATTCTACACCCTTTTGCTCTCCTCCTTCCCTTCCACATCCTTTTCCTCTCCTCCTTCCCTTCCAGCCCAGCTGCAGCTCCATTAGCACCAAGGAGAGCACTCCCCACTGCAGCACCAGCCGGGCAGGAGGGGCAGCAGGGAAGCCTCCGAGGGTCAGCCCAGGGGAGAGCAGCCGTGGTTTGCAGAGAAGCTGCTCTGGGGGCTTTGGGAACCACCCGAGCTGCTTTTCCAGGGGCTCTCCCTGCCCCTGTGCAGGCTGGCAGTGCCAAGGGCTGCCTCACCCCTCCTCCTGCCCAGCCTCACCCCCAGCCCCAGGCAGCTCCGGCCTGAGCCCTTTCCCACCTTGCTGAAGTCAGAAAAGCCCCAGAAGCACACACAATTCTTTTCCATCCGTTTCAGCCCCTTTCTGCATTTCAAAGACCATTCAAGACCCAGTGATATTGCTGATTTCCCAGCCCATGCTGTTTGGAACTACAGCACTGCCTCTAATCCTGATTGTAACAACAAGTGAAGGAATTCCCTCGCAGAATTAATCACAAACCAGCCAGCCCTGCCAGCTTCAGCCTTTTTGCTGCCCCCACGGGCTGGCAACAAGCGGATCTCTGCCATTTGTGCCGTCCTTGTTCCCAGTGCTCTGCTGAGGCTCGGGCAGGGAGGAGCAGGCACAGCTGAGCCCTGCTCCAGCAGCACTCTGAGCTCCGTGGGGAGCACAGGGATCTCCAGAGAGCTCCTCCTGCCCTCCCTGGGGCCAAACCCCACCCAAAAACCAGCGCCAGGACACTTGAGAGCAGATCCCAGCAGCCTGGGAGAGCCCCTGCAGCTGCCAGGCAGGAGTGCTGGAGAACTTTCTGAACCCGATGCATCATTTATTCAGCATTGTTTATCTCCAGCTGCCTTTAGGAGGGGGAGATTCTCATAACCCAAAACACAGAGCTGTTCCACAGGGCAGACAGCCGGGGGCAAAGCTCCTCTCCCCTTCTTGTTGAAACAAAATGGTTTCAACAGCAACCAGTCCTTCTGAGGGAGCCAGCACCACCGCTGAAAATTCTGCAACAATTCCTGATTTCCCAGCTCCCCTCACAGCAAAAGCAGCCCTGGCAGTGCCCAGCCCCAAAGCCAAGAGAGGACCTGGCCCTGGGCAGAGGTGACCAAGCCCCTGGTCCCCTCAGACACCCCCTCTGCCCATCTGACCCCTCCAAACCCCCCAGACCTGCCGTGCCTGGCACTGCCTTGGTGGCCTCCTGCGCGCCTCAGCCTCTTCTTTTTCACTCCCGAGTATTTCATGATCAGTAAGGTTGGAAAAGACCTCCAGGATCACCCAGCCCAAGCACGAACCCAGCACCACCAAGCCACGTCCCCAGGTGCCACATCCCCAGGTGACCTCAGCACCTCCAGGGGTGGTGACCCCACCACTGCCCTGGGCAGCCTCTTCCAAAGCTTTTCCCCAGGAAATTGTTCCTAATACTGAACCCAAACCTCCCCTGGCACAACTTGAGGCCATTTCTTACAGTTCCTGATTTAAGAAACAAACCAGAGCACCTCAAAGACCAATTAAGAAACAGGAATCAGAACTCCTACACCTCATCTTTTCTCCTGGTGGGAAGGAGAAGAAGCCTCTGCATTTCTGGAATGCCGCAGGTCTCAGAGCATTCCAGCAATGCTGATCAAGCCCAGCAGTTTCTCTGCAAAGCAAAACAATTCTGAAACCCATTCTGACACGCAGGGTCAGCCGAGACACACAGACTCCAGCAGGGTCATGGGGAAAAATGGATTTATGGCCAGTTTGGCTTTTGGAGCTGTGCAGGGAAAGGGGCTTTGGGAAATTGTTAATGATGAGATTGGAGATTCAGCTGTGAAAGCAAAGTCTGGGAGCTGCCATGGCTGATTTACAGACACCACAAATCCCTCCTGGGCACATCTGGGACTGAAGATGTGATTTAAGTTTTCACCCCCCCCATTCCCAAAGACATTCCCAAAGGGTGTCAGGTGTGTGGGGTTCCCTCTGGATTTGGGGTTCACTCACACACTCCACAGAATGACTGACAAAATACATTAACAACTCCACAACCAGACAGATTTTCTGAAAAGGCCTCAATTAACACACAGCTCCAGCTCTGATTTGGAAGGGCAGGGGTCACTCAGAACAAAAACTGACAGAAACCCCAGTTTTTCCTCAACTTTTCTTTCTAATTGAAGGACCCTGCAGTCAACGAGCAGATCTTGGTTTATTTATTCTAACAGGCTGACTTCTGCACGTTTGCCACCAGAGCATCCTTCCCCACACCCCCCCGACATCCAGGATCCCACAGGAGCATTTCTGGTTCCACACCCAGGGGAACAACCCAAAAACTGCCAGGCAGCCCCAGAAACCCCAACAATCCTGCTCCCAGAGGAGCTGGCAGCCCAGCAGCAGCGTGGGGAAGCTCAGCTTAATGAAATTAGAAATCAAATCACGCTCTCTGCGAGGCCTTTCTGCTTCACCTGCCACCAGCCCTGGGGACGTTTCGGTGCCGTGCTGCCACAAGCTCCCTTGACACAGACACCAGATCTGAGAGCACAAGGCTGGCACCTCCACAGGCTCCACACCACCGTGGAACCCTTCCCTCGCTCATCTTCAGCCACAGGGCTGCAAGACTGAAAAATCCAACAGGCAAAGGAACAGACCGGGGGCGAAAGGGAGAGGAGGGAAAGGCAGGGCAGGCAGAACACAAGCCCAGGGCAGCGGGAGGTGGCCCAGCCCTCACCTGCTGCTGCCAGCCCCACGTCCAGGGGGTTCCTCTTGAACTCACAGCGGCTCTGGCTCTCTGGCATCACGAGCTGGCGGCTCTGGTGCAGGTTGGAGATGATGGTGGAGAGGTCGCTGTCGCGGCTGCGGCAGAGCACAAAAACCCCGCGTTAGGGAAATCCCATCTGCCCCCCCAGAATTGATTTTTTTTTCCCCACGTGTGAGCCCATCTGGGAGAGGCTTTTGTGCACTCCAGCAGTGCTGGATTGCAGGAGAGCTCCCCCCTTTTTCCCCTTCCCTCCCTCCCACGGGTGCCTCCGAAACCTCGCCTCGATTTTGGGGAGTGCAAAGCCCTTCCCGAGCTCCCCTCTCATTTCCCAGCAAGGACCCTGCAGCTGCCAGAGCTCCTGATCCCAGCCCTGCCAGATAGAACTTGCGTGGGCCAGGACTCACATCTAGGATGGAAAAACTGAAAGCGGAGGAATTGGCAGATCTGCTGCAGAATGAATAGGAAACTTGAACTGAAATAACTGATAGTTTTCTATCAGCTGCCACCCTTCTATTCTTAAAAACCGAAGTTTTTCCATTCCATCAGTGCTGGGACAAAAGGCTGCTTGATTTGATTGAATAATAGTTCTTCTCCTCAGAGAGAAACCCACCACGAGCCCGGACAGCAGAGCTGAGGGGACAGATTTATTTATTTACAAAACCCACTTTCAACTCCCCCTCCAACAGATCCTGAAACAATGCTCTTCCTTCTGGGAAAAGAGACTGTGTTAGAGCAATTCAGCAATATTGTGCCCGTTCTCCTTGCATCACACTGCTGCTAACTAGGCTGGTTTAGTCCCATTTTTCTGATTTTTTTCCTTCTCTGGAGAGGAAGAACACAACCAATTCACTGTAGCAGATACTGCAGCTCAGTGGTGAATGATTTTGCTGGCGAGCCACTCTCCAGCTGCAAAATATTCCTGATCTACAAAGAGTGAGGAGGAAGAGCAAGGTGGAACCATGGCAGGAGCTGATGGTGCTGGAGCATCTCCCTTTTGTTTGTTTGTTTGTTTGCAGGAGATGCTGAGCTCCCCATCCTCCCAGCACCAGGGGCTCAGCTACACGGGACAACTTTTCTTCCTGCCCTCCCTCTGAAGGGGACACGGCAGCCAGGAGAGGCAGAGACACTTGGCAGAAACGACACAAATCAGGACTGCTGCCCTCCCTGCCCAGCCACAGCTCCCTCCCGTGCCAGCTCCCACCCAGGGGTGTCCTCACCTGGGCCCAGCAGGGCAGCCCGGAGGGTGCATTATCTGCAGAATTACCCAGCCCTGATCTGCCTTAAATACCCCCCCAATCCCCCCGGTGCTGCTGCCCCGGCCGATCCCGGTGCTCCCAGCCCAGCCCATCCCCGGGGCTAATCCGTGTCTAGCTCGCTGCTAATCAGATCAGTTCAGGACAGAAAGTCTTTAGGGACTTTCAGCGGGCGTCTGGCTGCAGATTTCCACGGGAGGAGGCTGCAGGCACAAACAGCCCCGCCATTCCCCATCCCTCAGGGGGATCAGCAGGAGAAGGGATGCTGGGATCCCAAATCCTCTGAGCACCCATGCATCTCCCCCAAAGCACTTCAGAGTGCTCCTTATGCAAGCACGAGGCTCATTACTTAAGCGAGCCCACAGGTGAGTGGGAAGCCCATTTCTCCTGTGCCAAGCAGTTTTGGGTCTTATCCTCTTTTAGCTGCCACCTTTAAGATGCATTATGCAAATATTTTGGTGTCTTAAGTCATTTATGGGATTAATGTGAAGTGATTATCAGTTCTTTTTAATCATGCCAATCAATAAGTGGCTGTCAGGGACAGAGGACAAATGCAGATAAACGCTGCCATCAGCACAAGGCCCGGAAAGGGCGGAGGAGAGGAGCCAGGAGAGCAGGGAGTGGGAAGAGAAAAATGGGATAATTACATCTTTGCATTTGCACAGTGCCTCGAATCCCAATCGAGCCCGGAGCAGCGCTGGTGTGTCAACACGTGCAGCTACTGGGAGGGATCGGTTTATCCACCAGGAAAATGCAACCCTCTCTGGAGCAGCCCCTCAAAAGCCAGAGAGGGCAGAACACCGGGAGAGATCCAGCAAAAACAGAACCCAGGAGAAGGAATCATCCCCACACCAGCAGTGCTGCCCTCCCTCCCCAAAATCTCCTGCCTTCAGGAGATTTTCCACGGGTTTAAGATAAAAACCATGGTGGTGTGCAAAGGTGCACCAGCAAACCCACGCTCAGGGAGGCACGGGCACACTCCAGGCTCCGAGGCTGCCTCAGTTTACTCACGAGTCAGGCAGGATCCAGTCCCCACTCTCCATCCCAGCCCCTGCTGAGCCACACACAGGGATGCAGGAACTTCAGGAGGGGACAAGAGGAGCGGGCAGCCCCCAGGCCCCTTTGGCCCCTGGGTGGGCACAGAGGGGCTGCCAGGTGCCCCCGAGGGGCACACGCCACCCCCAGGGCCAGGGCAGGGGGGTGGCAGCTCCCGTGCAGAGCCAGACTGGAGCAGCAGCACCTTCCAAACGTGTTTCATTCCAGCCATTAGCAGCGAGTGCATCTCCGAGGAGGAGAGGGACGGGCAGACTAATGGCTGGAGACAATTAACCAAAATATAAATCAGTGTCAGGCTCTGCAGAGCAGCAGGCGCCCGCAGGCTCTGCTCAGACTGCAGCAATGATGCAGAGGGGCAAGGAGAACAGTTTGGGCAGGATGGAAATAATTCCCACCAGGGGCTGCCTTTCCTGGCTTCCCTGGCTGCAGCTTCCCTCTTTTGGGGGAAGAGACAGAACATTCCACCTGACCCTGGGACCTGTCTGTAGGTAAGGGCACTGTTTAATCAAAGGGGGATTGCCTACAGCTGGCTGTACTCTTGTTTTCCAGCTGTTTAGTGACCAAGTTTGGTATCTCAAAGCCTGTTCTCATCTCAATCCCGCTTATAGTTTCTGCATTTTCCAAATCTTTTGCCAGGCAATCATAGTTACAAGGCTTTCCCATTTCATCTTCCCCAACATCTCCTCCCTTCTGATGAACAACTAAAATATTAGATACTGCCTTACTCGTTATTTTTTGCACACACTGAAGCATACAGGGTACTGCTACTAAAACTACAACTATCACTATTGGAACAATCAAGCCTATTTTACAGAGCTCCTTTACTGGGTAACTTTTCCTAATACTCAAACCAGAGGAAAGCTGGGAGAACACAGTCAAAAATCTCTGAAAGAATGCAAAGTAGCAGACTGGGAGGAAAGAGAGACTCAGAAAGTAAAATGGGAAGGAAATAAAATGGAAAAACATTTCTTTTAAAACACATTTCACCGGCTCTCCATCCCCTTAACGATTACCCAGTAAGTGCAGGGATTATATTAAATTTTACTGATCAATACAGCAGCCATAAAACTGTCCCGACCCTCTGCCCCTCCCTCCAATAAAGAAAGGAAAAATCCAATATGCAAAGGGAGGGATGTCAGACCTGCAGGGGAGAGGCCTCGAGGGCAGTGACCTGGCCAGGGCAGGGGGCTGGTTCCAGGATGCTTCACCTGGCTCAGGTGCCAGGCTGAGATGTTCCCTCTGCAGTGATCCCCCCTGACCCGGCTGGGGCTCCAGGAGTGGCAGGGAAGCTGCGAGGAGATGAGAAAATCCCCAGGAGCTGCAGAATCACAAAGGGTTTTTCCTCTGCTGGTCTCAGCAGCACAAAAAACCAAGTTTCTGCTGTCAGGAGCAGTGTCCCAGCCAGAGCCACCGGCTGCTGGAGGAAACAGCACCAGGGGAGGCTCAGGTGGGACATCAGGGACATTTCCCACCCAAAACAGGGGAATAAGCCCTGGGCAGTGCTGGAGTGCCCCAGGAGCCCTGGGACACGGGCACTGCTGGCCTGGGCAGGGTTAGGGCTGGATCTGGTGACCCTGGAGGGCTTCTCCAGCCTGAGGGAGCCAGGATTTACAGAGGGGTGTGTGTGCCTCAGGGCTGCCCAAACCCAGGCATGCAAATCAGGCAGGCATGGGGAGGGAATAATGAGCTTTTTATGGAAGCCATTAAAGGGTTAGTCCATAAATGCTGCTGCATCATTACAGCCCCGAGGAACGACCTGATGTGACAGCACAACCGTGGGAAGGCAGGGCTGGTCCTGGGCACTCAAGGGTGCCCAGATTTTCTAGTTAGCATTTTAAAAAAAGACCCAATAACTGATTTCTAAAGAAAAATCAGCACTCCAGTCCAGGCCCTGGAAAAAAAACCCTGTATTTGTTGAATCTGGAGGTTGTACAAGGACCTGGAAGAGCTGCAAGAGCAATTCCTGCTGCAGCCCCCACATCAACCACCACCAATATCATTGCTTTTCCCTCAACATGCAGTGTCCAGCCTCCGTGGGCCATTTAATCACAGACTCATTGATTTTCAAGCCCCAGAGGGGACTGCTCTATCTCCCTGCCCTGACCTCCTGCACAGGACCTGTCAGAACATCAGCCCCTGGTGCTCCCAGTTAATGGTGGCAGCTCAGAGTGGAAAATACGTGTGAGCTGTGACTCTGCTGTGCAGGAACAGATCCCCCATCCCAACCCCGACCATGCCAAATCCAGTGCTCTGGGAATAAAATCATGTTTATTCCCGAGAACTGATGAATCCCCTCAGCTTCTTCCTTACTAGAACACAACGCTTCCTAAACAAATTTTAAAAAAACCCTAAAAAAAACCCAATTCACAAGCTCTGAGTGCCCCCCACACAGACAGGGCACCAAAGGCGTGAGGGATGAGCCACGGTCCAGCCCCGCAGAGGCAGGAGTCACCCTAGGAGAGGGAATTCTGAGGAATAACTTCCCTCAGCATGAGGCAGGAATCACCCCGGGAGGAATTCTGAGGAATAACTTCCCTCAGCATGAGGCAGGAATCACCCTAGGAGAGGGAATTCTGAGGAATAACTTCCCTCAGCAGCCTGGCAGTGCCCTGGCATCACCCACAGAGGCTGGAGTCACTCTGGGAGGGAATTCTGAGGAATAACTTCCCTTGGCACAAGGCAGGAGTCACCCCAGGAGATGAATTCCAAGGAATACCTTCCCTGGGCGCTGGCAGGGGTCACCCAGGAGATTAATTCCAAGGAATACCTTCCCTCAGCGCTGGCAG